GGGGCAGCCCACGGCCGAGGCGTCTCGTAGATGGCCGCTTCGGAAGTCGGGAGGCTGCCGGGGCCGCTCCCCGGCCGGGTCGCGCTGCGCTCCCGTCCCCCGCTCCGAACCTGAAGTACCCCAGTAGCTCGGGTGTGCGGCTGTTCTTAATGGTGGTTATTAACTTAATCAAGGCTGTTTCTGTAGGCTTAATGGTGGTTGTTAACTTAATCAAGGCTGTTTCTGTAGGTTTAGTTCCTCTGGGTTATTTATTTCCGGAGACAGGTCCTGTAAGCGCGATCTTTGGTTTATGTGTTGTACGCTGCTGTGGCCACGGTGTCTCAGTGTTTATATGGGTGTTATCCCTCCCCGTGCTGGGAGCCGGGGCGGGCAGGGCTTGCTGTCCCTGGCTCTGCCTGTGCCTGCGCCTGCTTGCCGCCCTCCTCCTCCTCCTGCTGCTGGTGCCTGGTCACATGCTGGGAGTGGATCAGGGAGCCAGCAGGTTGAAGCCTTGACACATGCCTGTGGTAACACCAGTGCCTAAGAGAAATGCCTGTTCGGGTTTGGGTTTTGTGGTTTAGTTTGTTGGTTTGTTGGGTTTTTTAAGGCGTTTTGATGCATCTTAACTGAATGAAACCTGTGTTTTGCCTAATTAGGACACTTACTAAATTTGCCTTAATGCCAGATTATCTGCATGGAATCATCACTTCTTTAATTCCCTTCCTTCCCATATTGCCTGTAATATCTACTCAGAGAAATTATGTCATCTAGTGCTTCCTAACCCTGGCTGTATTTCAGGATGCAAAGATGGACTGTAGCTGGTCTTGCAGTAACATTGTCAAACATGTTCTAATAAAGCTCCATCTGTGAGAGAGTGTGGCAATCTGTCGTGGTATTGCAGATGTGCTGAGCTCGCCTGTTCCCATAAGACAAAGCATACTGTCCTACTGCCACTGTATTTAGGAGGTCTTACATGTTAACTCTGCTGTTAATTCTGTGATAGGAAGAATGAGGCAAGATGTCTTGGCTGCTGTAGTGCCTGTCCTGTACTCTTGCTTTTAGAGCTTAAAATTGTACCTGACCCCTGAAAATGAAGATGAGGAATAGAGGCATCTGTGTACTTCTTTCTGGATTTTATATCGGCAAAATAAGAGGAGTGCTATTTGTAAGCATTAGTCCTGCAATAAGAGGTCCTCTTAGCATGCAGGTATTTCAGCAAGGGTTGTTTACAGTCAAAGACCAGGCTAATTAAAAGGTATCAAATAGATGAAGGAGGCCTGTTCACACTCCTCTATGGTTGGGCAAGTGTGGCATTCACAATAGTAAAATAAAAATGATTGCTGACTGAAATTAGTCTTGATGCCTAGTTCCTTCACTGTAGCCAGCTGTCTGTAGGTGAAATAACACTGGGGAGCCAATCTACAGTTATCATAGTTAATGTGAAGTATAAACCTATGTTTAATCCCAAAACTTCTTTATCTCTCTATTATTGCACTGGTGCCTAGAAGAATGACATGCCTCATGTGTCTTGAGGTTTATGCTGCTTTCTGCTATGGCAAGGAGAAGTTTTCAGTTTAAAAGCAGTAAATAGCCCAGTGAACCTGTCATGTCTCTCTGACTAGCAAGGGCTGTGGAGTGGAATGGAGTCTGCCCTTTCTTGGGGGGTTGGTTTTCTGTGGTGGTTTTTTTTGTTTGTTTGTTTTGTTTTTTGTTTTTGGGCTGTGGTTGGGCATCACTCGGGAGAAGAGCAGCCAAAACATGATCAGGAATCTTGAATTTCTATATCTTGAAGCAAGCAAGTTGTAGCATGGGGTATAACAAGATGATAGGAGGGGAAACTTGTTTCCCTCACTACGTCACTGAATGCGTTTTGAGCATTCATAGTGACTCTGTATGCTGAGCTTAAGATGGATTGAATGGCTGTGTCCTGGCCTGGAAGGAGCAGAGATGCATAGCACTGGGGCAAGTTCCTTATCTACAAGGAAAGGGTTTTCCTTCCACCATACTTAGTTGTACTTTGTTGGTTTGGTGTTTGTTTGGTTGTTTTTTTGTTTTTTTGTTTTTTTTTTTAAATGAAAGTTACTTCTAGAAACTTATACAGTCACAACATCTGGCTGATTTGTGAAATCAAAGCCCCAGTGCATGGCACCAACACGACAAGTAAGGGCTGCATATGCTTTCTAGTGAAAGCAGATGTCTTGCCCAGCACTTGGTAGCATCTTTTTCCTTCTGAACTGCTGCTGCTTTCTTTCCTGGGTTCAGTTTGAGCTACTGCTGTGTGGGCATTTTGACATGCCAGTAGTGTCAGAGGCTGAATCACTTGAAACACTACTGGTACACTGCAGCTTTGTTACTGCTTCTAACTGTAGCTGGACAGAAGAAAGAGTAACAAGGATTTTTATAGTACCTGTATAAAACATGTGCGAGTCTTTAATTGTCGTTTTCCCCATCTTTTCACGTAAACTCACTAATACTTCTAGCATATCTCAGGAGTGATGCTGAAATACTTGTAATATACTTTAAAGACTCAGGTTCCTGAACGCCCAGAGTAATTTTGGGAGGTAAATTAGTGTCACTTTCCTTGAGGACTGAGTTATTGCTTAGTTATGATGAGAGCTTGCCTAGAATTTAGGAGCTTGTCTCAAGATACTAACTTATGTAGGTTTTGGGCTGGTGTGGAGTTTTGTGTGTTTGGTTTTGGGGTTGTTTTGTTTTTGTGGTGTGTGGTTTTTTTTCTTGTTGAGGGTTTTTTTTTTGTTTTTTTTTTTTTTCCCCCCTCCCCAGAAAACTTGATTTGTTAACAGGAAATTGCTAAAACTTCGTACTTTTAGAGCTTACCTGTTACTACTGTTTGCCCTTCCTTTCTGCTCCAGGGTTCCCTGGAGATAACGCAGAGTTTGGAAGATGATCCTCTACTGGATGCACCACTTATTTCATCTCATACATTGCACTCCCAACTGAGGCCAAGATTCCATGCTATCCCAGCAGTTCTGCTTGCCAATTTTCTGTTGCTTATACATGTGAGTCTTAAGAAGTATGATTTCCTTATGAAAACTTGCTGTCACTATTCTGAAGTCTTAACATTCATGTAGACAGAGTTCTCCTGAGATTTGCATACACTGTTCTTCCACACCTGTGAAGTCCTGTTTGCCAATGAATTTTGCTAGTGTATATGTTTATATGATACTTGCTGTATTATCATTATAATTGTTTGTCAACCTTAACATGCTATGATGCATCTTGTTAGGAAGAAAAGCCTTTTAAATAGCATGCTGTTGGAAATGTACTTGCAATATTACTGCTGTAGAAGTGCTTATACTAGTTTTAGAGGGCTAAGAATTTTGGTGATGTTTTCTTGAGGCTGAGCTTGATTCAGAGGAAAGGCTTAAGGTATTTCTTATGGTAACTAAACAAGTAATGTGGGACTTGCTACAGGGGTTTTGCAGAGTAGTGGATGGAGAGAGAAGGGAATCCAAATGTTACTTGCTGATCTGACTTCTGGGGATTAAGGGTGAAAATCATGTACCTTACAGTATGAAGACCTTCTTGAGGCTGATGGACAGAAGTAGAGAGATTCCTGCCTAGTGAGTTTATCCTTGATAACTGAGAAGGCCTGTTGCTGGCTTTTTTTGTGTGGAAACCAAGCATGAAGGAAGATTGAAGAGATCTGATGATAGGATCTAACTGAAATGATAATTGCATGGCACTTGCAGTCATGGTTTAGTGGTGCACTTGGCAGTGTTAGGTAAACAGTTTGACTCTTAAGGGTGTTTTCCAACCTAAATGATTCTGGAATGCTGCTAACACAGAAGATAGTATATGTATAAAGCCAGAGTGCACAAGAAGTGTATATTTATTGCTAGCTCTTTTAGAGATTTATTTGGTCTCGGGCAATAAATGCCATGCGCAGTGCTTTGCAAAACATACTCTGGTAGAGCTTTAAGAGCACATACCAGCCTCTAAGGTCTCTTTTTTGACCAGCTGCATAAAACTGTTCAAACAATATGCCCTAGCCTTCTAATTTTTGAAGTAAATGTTTCATGGGCATTTTAGAGGATCTTGATATTGCTGTCTGTCAAATGGGCTTAGGAAAGACTTCTGTTGTTCTGCTGAATAAACTTCCAAAATTCCCAGTGGAAACTCTGTATCCAGCCTTACTGCCTTCCCTTTCCTCTAGGAATTGCCATTAGGATGACAGTCTGCATTATGAAGGTAGATGCTACCATGGTGGTAGGGTGTTTTTCCACCTAGCTTTAGGGCCTTACTATCTACTACCATAATGGACATAGCCAAATGTCAGTCACGCAGATCCTAGGAAACTGCTGTTTCTTCTGTTGTTACTGCTTCCTCTCTTCTCCAAATGGAGAGAAGTGAGGGGAGAGAGAAAATTGCTGAGGCCTCTGTCAACACATACTTCTCCAGGTAAAGTCTTGTTGCAGTTGCTGAACATGCTGCAGTGGCCAGTTGGTCCTCTGAGCAAAATGGAGTAGTAACAATTTCTGTTGGTGAAATATAACATTGTAATTGCCCCATAAAATAGTACCATTTCTTGATGGAAAGATGGATGGGGAAAATAAACTTACAGAATTTCTTGCCTGGCTGCTTCTGCAAACATCCACAAGCCTTGTGGAATGTGGAGACGCCAGGTTAGCTTCTGATTGACGGTCTGCCAAAGGGATGAGTATCCTGGAGAAGTTAAACCATCATAGTATTATGTGGTACAGTTGTAATTAGTCTCTAAAGTAATTTATATATAAACTTGGAGCATTTCTTCTCCACCCTGCTGTGCCAAGAAATTCAGTTAGGTACCAATGTAGCTGCTTTGGTGCAGCTGCCTGGTTACATAAAATTCTGAAATGTGTATGTAGGGTATGCTGGAGTGTGGTGGGGTGAGTTTTTTGAGTGGCTTTCCTTTTGCCAAACCTTGCTTTTCTGCAGGCTTCTGGCTCCTATCAGGAGAGTCCAGAGAGCAGTGTCAAGTGTATGGGTTAGAAAATTCCTTTATATTAGCCCTGTCTTTACTTAATCCTCTCTGTATATGCACATACACAAAACTGAATTTAAGTGCTACTTTTTGTCATAATAACTTTTTGTATATAAGAATCCTCTGTACTGGAGTGAAGTACATGTTGTTGGACTTCTCTAAAATGTAAGCAAAAACATCTTTTAACAAATGCCACTCTTAATGCCAGCTACCTGTTTTCTCTGTGTATATATACATTGCTGCAGTAGATTAGCAGAGCTGCAATGCTAAGCCATTCTTGCTTGCATTGGCTTAATATAGCCATTTTCTGTTTTTTAAATAGATTCCTAACACTTGGAGGGAGTAGACCTAGAGATGTTACTGTTCTAAAATGGTGAACCAAATAGTAAATGGACAAAAAATGTGGGTTAGTTGGATTATTTTTACCTTTGCAAGAAAAGGAGGTGGTAAAATAATAGATTAAATGAATGCTTTGTTGATAAACCTCCCTCTTATTCCTTTTTAACTTAATCTAGCTACTTAACCCATCTCAATTTGGGATTTAATTTGTATTTGAAGTAATGGTCTTATGGATAATACAGGACACTTCACCTCTCCCCCCACCTCTTTCTACTGTGTCTGTCTTCTCTAGTGTTTCTCTTGGGTATTGATGATTGTGTATATTATTCCCTCTTCCTCCCTCCCTCCCCAGTTACCCGACTTTGTTCACAACCACAGGAAGCTAAGGGCAGTTTGTACCGAGAGTAATTTAGGGTTCTGAAAGGTTAAATTATGTGAATAAAGCTGCTTGAGAAGTGACAAAAATATGAAAAATAAGTTCAAGGGGGTGGTGGGCTCTTCATTTCAATACTTAATTCTATGGGTATCCAAGATAACAAATGAAAATTGTATGCTTTCCTTCATCTTTAGTTCTGACGTGTTGGCACTTTTTTAAGCTAAGTGTATTAGAGGTATTAGACTTTTGCCAACTTGAGGCAAATTGATTTTGTTGTTGTATGTAGAAGCTCTTGATTTACTTCTGTTTCAGTAAGAGTTGTTTTTGTTCTCAGTTCTGTTTTACTATACTTCTGAAGAATGAAGCAGGATGAGAAAGTATCATTCTTGTTTACTGAAAACAGTAGTTTGTGTGATAAAATTCTATAAAGATTAAACAAGACCTGTATTTATACATATACCCCAGATAACATGCACCCAAGACTCTGCCTTCTAGCTGGCCGAAAGATTGCTGATGCTGAAAGCTTAGAGTAAGGTTTAGAAGACAGAACAAGTTATGGCATAATGACACCAGTCTGAAAGGATAAGTGTATATACACAGTCTGACTATAGTCTGGTCCTTCTGACATGTTCTGAGCAAAATTGTGGGGGTGGGAAAGGTAGTAAATACACTAAAGAGATTACCAACTGGCAAAGATGCCTACCCAATATTAATAATTCACTTTAAGTTGCTATAATGTTTCACTTTTTTCTAGTGTCATAATGTAGTGATTATCTTCAATGGGTACAGTGAAGTGTTGACATCACTTATGACAATTTAAAGAAATATAGACTGAACCAAAAAAATATGAGTCTGACTTGCAAAGCAGTAGCTGATTGAGTCTAAAAAGATGTGATTCTTTTTTTTTTTTTTTTTTTTAGGGAGTGCTGGTTGTGGATTAAAAAATGTGATTTTTTTTTTTTTTTTTTTTTTTGAGGAAGTGTTCCCCTTGAAGTAAAATGATGTAGTAAAGAGTATCTAGAAATATGGTAAGTTCACTATGAATGGGAGACTTGAACAGTGAAATTGATCTAGAGGAAATTCTGTGAAGAGTGGTGGTTCTCAGCTTTGTTCTGCTGGAAACTGGTTACCCTCCTGGAAGGCAGTCTTACTACTTGGCAGTTTCAGTCACCAGTATGTTCCCAGAATGATGTGTAGTGGTTGTAGTAATTGTCTAATCTTTTATGTTATTTAAACTCTAGTAAAATTAATTTAGTAATGTATAATGAATAAACTACATAAGCCTGTCTTTTTTAAATATATATATATAGTCAAATGTTGACTTTCAGTGGTTTTTCTCTCTTCCAGGTTGCTTTTGTTGTTCTAGCATTTTTAGCAGCCATGTTTTGTTCTTACCCCAATCCAAATCAGGATAAGTGCCCTGGAAACTATACTCACCCACTTAAAGTGCAGACTGTCATCATCATTGCAAAAGTAATTCTGTGGACTCTGCATGTTTTTTTTGAACGATACATCCAGCACCACCACAGTAAGGTCAGAAGCAGAGGTTACTTCTCAATATACCGATCAACAAGATGCCTAAAAAGGCTTCCACTGCTGATACACTCTACAGGTGAAGTGAACTTGTTTTTGTGTTTTGTTGTTTGTGGGTTGTTCTTTTTACTTTTTCTAAAGCTTTATGATGCAATAAAAGGCTGAACAGTTTGCTTATAAATCCTCATAAGCAGGTTTTTAGAAGCTCAATATATAGTATACATTTATATAAGATATTTTAGTCAGATGGACATGCTGACTAGCCTTTCTGGCCTGCCAGATGCGTGCTGTAAAGAACTCTTCTAGTGGAAAAATGAAGTTGAATAAAACATCTCATCACTTGCATCTAGTCTTCAGCCTTAAAATGTTCAGCCAGGAAGGTCTGTGTTTGGCTGCTAGTGATCTCAATTTATGTACTCATCTGTCTAGTTGCTTATGTGGCAAGACTGCTTGTCCTTCCAGGAACTGTGCTACTCTTAAAGCTCAGCAATTAATGTAGAAACAGGTGAATTGCTTGTTGCTCAACAGCTGTCTGAAATAAGCAAAGTAATTAATTTGCTGATCTTCAGTAGGGCTATGTGTAATATTCAGCTCTACTTCTGACTGCTTTTTTTCTGTTTTCTGTGGAGAAAGGATGGTGTATGGGAGTGGTTTAGCACTGCATATTGTAATTACATCACTTGCCAGTGAAGCCAAAGTAAGTGATGGTACAACTAACTAGTGCAGCTTTTCTAACGAACTACTTCAGCAAATCTAAATCTAACTTGAAGGGATTTTTTTCCACATATAAATAGCAGTGGAAAAAGGAACTGGTGGCTTTTACAGCTTTTTTGCCTCATAGTCCTATCTTTCTCTTCTGTCGATTTTCTGAATAACTGGAGTAGAAATTTTCTCACCAGAATTGATAATTTAGTTGGTCCTGCTTTATATAAACCTTAGCTTGCATTCTGCCCAGTCACTAAAAGACCTAGTCAAATGTGCAGAACTTCAGGCTCTGGCCACTAGATAGAGCTCTGAAGATAAATATGTGTTTGGAGTGCAGTGACAAAATCGAGCTACAGCTGGCTTGGGGATGTTTCAAAAGAGAGTAAAAGGACTACTTCTGTCTAATGCAGTTTAATCTGGAATACTTAACCCTGTCTGCAGTCTTGGATGGAACCCACTTCTCCTCTACCAGACAAATTCTAAGCATGTGTCAACAATTTAGGTGCAATCAGTTGTATGTTGTAGACTTTAGATGTAGATCATCTGTAGTTCAGAAGGTGCTTTGCTCCATTACTGCAAAATCCCTGCCATGCTAATTGATGCTGATACCACTTCCATCATGGCAGCTCAGTTGTCTAATGAAGTATGAAGCAGAACTGTACAGTTCCCTAGCTACATCAATGGTCTTAGTACATTTGGTGCTTTATCCAGACACTTGTATTAACATTTCTACAGGAAAGAAGAGAACATGTTACACTTTGTATCAAAGGAGAGGTTGTGTAAAGAATTAAAAATGTTTTAGGTCTAGAACTCAACACTTGTGTTCCTTGGCCAATCATTCTCATTTCAGTTAAACTTTCAGTAACTTGCAAATATTAAAATAGTAGCTTGGCAGCTAGAAACATATGCAAGTATTTCCCTGTGAAATGGAGGTGTTTAGTTTTTTGCTCTGCTAGCCTCACTTAAATACACTCAAGTCCCTCCCACCTGAAGGAAAATACCCTCTCATTTTGAACTGACTGATCTGAGCTCCTAGGAATTGAAAAAAACAAGAAGTCTCCAAGCAGTTTTGGGGATGGGTAGCAGCAAGGTTACAAACTCTTTAAGCCCATACATGTATATTAGGTATTTTGAATGTATTTCTTCCACTTTTGTTTTTTAAGTCAGGAAAACCTATAAGAAAACGTGTAATTCTCTACCACTACACTCAAATGCTGAAACAAAACCTCATTTTGCTGCCAGCACTTGTAAGCTTGCATCACCTATGTCAGGAAGTTAGGCAAAGAGGCAAGTATGATATGAAATGGAAAGTATTACTGAAATGTTGCAGCCTAATTCAGACACTGGGGGTGAGAGAGTACTGAGTTACTTTCAACAGCTAATGACATTGTTACACCTGTAAAATATTACATTTGTTTTCTAGGTAATACAGCCCTGCTTTTGATTCTGTCAATGCAGCATTCCTTTCCTGACCACAGTAAAGTGTACCTGTATCTTATCCTGGGAGTCCTGGGCCTGGAACTGATTAGCTCACTGACATGCTTAGTGATTTACACAGGTGAGAGAGGCAGTTATTGCCTTCTTGAGTGAGACTTACTGTAGCTGCTATTCAGCTGTTCTGTTTGCCTTCAGAGTAAACACTGAAAAGGTACAGACACTAAACAATCCGATTATTTTGGTTGCCTGAAGAAAACTAGAGATGTTTACTGTGAAGTCCATGTCTGTTTAAATTATATGCAGTTTCTGCTCTTGAGTTAGTTGATAATGCTGCTTCCTGATTTACAGGCACAAATAAGGAGATGACACCTTAGCTAAGTAGCCTTGGTAGTAGTGGTTTCTCTGGGGTGGGGTAGGGGGAGCAAAACTAATGGGCAAACCTTACAGCTTGCTCCTGACTTTTCATTGGATAGGAGGAAGGAGAGTGGAAATACCTCCTTCAGGACTGTATGAAGCTTAAAAAGTAAAAGCCATTTCTGTGGCAGTCAGTATTTGTCTTAATCTGACTTTTGTGATTTCATAATTGGTAATCTAGGATGCAGTTTTCTTTTGAAGGATAACACTTTGGTATGTTTTAGTAATGTAATGACACACAAAGGAATACTGACAAGTAGCTTGGTCATCTAGGAAAAAAAAATCTATTTACTGCAACAGTAATTGAAATCAAAATGCACAAGAAAAAAGGTCTGGACTCTAAACTACATCTTCCTCTTATAATTGTGCAGAGGTCTGAATGCTGTAGGCTTGTCAGGCTTTCCTCTGAATGAACCAGCATGTCTCAAGTAGACTGTCCTCTAGGAGAATAAGGGCAATGATGAGGGGGCACAAGCATGGCAGTCCTAGAGAACTATTCCAAGAATGCTGGAGATCATCTTTTCTTTGCATAAGCATACTTACTTTCCTGGGAAACTTGGGAAATAAGAGAGAAACTGCAGAACTTTCACAGAACCTCAGGAATTCCAGTGAAATGCCCCTGAGTGCTCTTGGAGCTCAAAGAGCTGCACTGTGTACCTCTTACCCTGGCAGAAAAGGATAAGCAACTGCAAGAAAGTTGACCTTCATAAGTATAAGGTCTGAGCCTTGACTTCCTTAAGAGCTCTTAACTATCTTTCTGCTTACTTGTCACCAAAAGGGTCTTGTTTTCTAGCTTGTTCTGTTCCTGTGACCATCAAAAACATTAACCAGCTTATGCTAGGAAGTGGTGCAATGTAATGATTTGTTTTCCAGCTTGAGACTTGAAGGATCCAGCAAGTCCTGGAACTAAGGGGAGGAAGGGGTAGAGCTGCATTAATAGGAAGGAGTAAAGCAGTTCCTTTTGGCAACAGCTGCCTTATTTCCTCAGCAGCCTCAAAACAACACTGTGAAGCTTCTTTCTCTAAAGTTTGTTGTGTAAAACTAGGGTTAACTTTTAACCTCAAGATGAGGCCTTCTGATCATGCTAGGCTGCCTTTTCCACTGGGTAGTGTAGCTTGTTTTCTTGTTTTCCATCCATTGCTTACCATGCTGAGGTAAGCTCAGAGACTGCATCTGTGTGTCTTGTGTGCAGTGGTAGGTTGACTTAGTTTTTAAGTTCTTAAGCATCAGGCTAAAGGTACACTGAGGAAAACAAATTTATTTGTCCAGTTTTGAAAATAGCTGGAGAATTTGTAGTGGTGACGCACATATTCTTTTCTTCAAGAAGAGTATGTGACTGGATAGAAAAGCGTGAAGCTTCTTTAGTAAGATAGTTTTAAGGGCAGTCCTCTGCTCAGGGTTGGAGTGCCCCTATCCAAGGCAAGCACTTACAGATACCACTGTTAAGATAGTATCAGCTAATGTTGCTGAACAACAATGGGCAGAGTAAGGTCACATTACACTAGGAATTCTTTCTTGTGTTAGTATGTTACTTCTCAGTTTTGGAGGGAAGGTAGCACCAGTTCATAGACTGTTTTTCCACAGTGGAATAATTATTTAACAGAATGAGGCATAAATGCTTATCTGGAGGTTGATGTATCTTATGAATTGTATGCTGCCTAATGTCCTGTGAAGAACTACTGCCTTTTAAAAATTATTTCCATTCAGCAATCTATGTATATATAGCTGTAGGATGCAGAGGCAGGGATTCAGAAGTATACAGGTAATTGCTGTGATTGACTTACAACAGGCTTGACATATATAAATTGTTCAAGTGAGGTAAATGTGTGTGGAATGAAGTATGATACAGACAGCTCTAAATGTCAGCTTACTATTCTAAGTTTGTTACTGATAGGACAGGGAGTCGAGCTTTAAAAGGCTTACTAAATATATGTATTTAATGACTTTCTTGCATACTTCTAATATCACTTTAATAAAAGACTGACATTCCCACAAACAACTCATGCTGGGAATTCCACATCCATTCCTTCATGGCTTTATTTGTAGAGGAATACCATCATAGAAATAACTAACCTTTGAGCCTAACTTGTAGTTAACCTCTGGAGGGTCTTAACATTGTTTTAGCAGGGTGGCCTGTAGTAAACCCCATCACGTTATTGACTTGTAAGGACAGTCTTTCTCTGCTGCAGTAGCGTGCATTTCTCATGGAGTTGGACTGTAGTGTTTTTAGTGTCATTAGATGTATTGCTTCACAAGCAGCCTGAACTGCAGAGTCCTGAATACATACTCCAGATCTCCCAGTACATTCCCTGAATCAGGATCTGATATTGGATGGTTCCAAATGTTTTTTGGCTTCCTTCCAGAAATAATGCAGAGGGTATCTACAGCTTCTCCTGTCCCCACCTATTCACATTCCACATCTATTTAAATTTAGTCTTAAACTTTATTAACAGATGCCTGGGGGTGACTTCTGGTTGCAATAGCCAATACTGCAAGGTTCACAGTGTGAAGCTGATCTGACCCACTCTGGCTTTCTGTAGCAAGTCTACCCTAGTTTTAGAGCAGGCAGGCAAGCTGTGCTTCATTGCAGGCAGTCTAGTTAAAATGGTATTTATCGAAGAGTTTAACTTAGAAGTTCTGACCTAGATGTTAGTATCAGTGTTTTACAATTTATTTATTTTTTAATAGCATGTTGCTTAATTTATGGCCTGAATTTGGAGACTCAAATCTCAGTACCCTCTCAAAGGCAACTAAGGTTTCACCCTCTCTTAGATGATAGATTCAACTTTGCAGTACACTCAAGCTTCCTCATTCAGGTCTTCACTGTAGTCATTTAAGCAGCAGGACTGAGGAGGGAAAAAAAACAACACCACCCCCCGCCCCCCAAAAACAAAACAAAACAGACC